TCTATGTTTTTCAGTTACACTCACTTATACCTACAATAGTTCCCTTTAATTAAAAAAAAAAATTTTTTTTTTTTTTTTAAAGTTAAAATTACTCAAAAAGAAGAACATGTTACATCAACTTGACATAATTAAGTTAGTATGACTATTTTTAAAACTTTGAGTATACACAACTTAATCTATTCAATTACTTTGAACATTCAGATTTACAGTAGAAACTGAAATTTTCTCGAACATAGGACAATGCAGAATAATTCAAACTCAAAGATGTTATTGCTTGGTCTGGAATGTTTTACAGTATGGTATTAGATTTTATCTTCACGGAGACCAAATCAGACCAAGTTATAGGTCAGATCTGTGGAGAGGAAACCCTGCTTCGCTGCTAGATTGCCTGTTTTTCTTGGTATTTTTGAGCTATAAAACCACATGTGATTGATTGAATAAATGTAAGGTAGAGCTTTTTAATCTCCTGTGCAACATTCTGGACAGAGCAATAACATATCTATAGAAACAAGCAGGTTACGGAACACCAACCAAAATCTACACAGCTTGTCTTTAAGGATTTCCAACTGGAATAACAGGACCAATTGAAGAAACATAGTCACCCATAAAGTATTCAGAATTGTCATGGAATTCAGTGCTGAAATCGCCTCTTCTTGTTTATTTAAGAGTGGATTGCATGAGCTTGTCTTTGAGGATTGAGTCTGATGAATTTGGCTGTAGATCTAGAGTCAAACGGGCAGAGCTGGCAGAGAACAGAGTGTGACCAGGCACAGTGGAAAAACTCTGTGTGGTGTCCAGGGAGAAGTCACAGAAGCTTGGCATTTCCCCAGGTTGTGTACGCCACCATCGTATGTGTGTGTGTGTGTGTGTTTTTGGTTCTCAAGACAGTTATCCAATCAGAAAGCAGAATAAGCCTCATAAGTATGTCCTTTGGGTTGCCAAATTTTACTAAATCCAGTTGGTTTGAACCTAAAAGAACTCTATCTGATCTGAATCCTCACTTCCTAAACCCCAGAACTTGCAGCCAATCTGGAATTCTGGAGTCTATCCATACTCTGAGAAAAACTCTATCTGCAGGTTAAGGCATTAGCAGCCTACAAACAATTTTACAGCCACACTTTACTCAGATCTGCTCCATGTTGTCACGTTTACTAACTATTTTTAATATTTATCAGGAAAACAATTCAAACTTGATCGAACACTGTGAAAATTAGATCTGTCTTGAGTATTTTATAGAAACTTCAGTGCTTGCATTTGATTACTTTTTGGTGTTAGTACAATATTTCTAGTTATAAATGAGCTATTCCACAATTTAATCAAGATGGAATGAAATAATATTCAGATTTTGTGGAATTTAATCTAATTCATAGTTTTAAAATCTTTAAAATCTTTAGTCTTTTTTTTTTTTTTAATCTCAAAGATACAAATAATTTCAAGAACATTTGCTCCTCCCCTATTGTAGAGCACAGTCTAGACTCATCCTCATTATTCCACTCATCTTTCCTGTTTTAATTACTGATATGTCCGAATAAAACGCAACAACCTGGACAGTCTGGATTACGTGCTTCATAATCCTGACCCCTCCACAGAGATTATGGTGGATTAGCATTTTGTCAGAGGGGACAGGGGCGGTCTTGGGTTGAGCAGTCCCAGTGCTGTCCACTCTCATGTCGTCTTTGTCTGTCTGTGCTGTCCTGTTCTGTCCATCTGAGCTTGTGTTTAACCATGTGTCAGCAGTGTCCTCCTAGTGCTGATGCTGCCCCCTCAGTTTATGTGTGATGATGCAATCTGCTTCAGTCCCTCCTGCTGCTGGCTCTGCCTCTTATCTCATTGTATTTATATCACAGGTGTCTTTGCTCCTTGTATTTGGGCAACACTGAGAGAAAATAAATAAAGATGTGTGTATTCATAATAATAAGAATCCATTCATCTTATATAGCACTTTTCCAGATGCTCTGTCACTTTACAATTCTATACATTATTCATTCACTCCATACTTGGTGATGGTAAACTACTATTGTATCTTCCTTGGGACACATATATCAATTTGGAATGGCTCTCACTGAAAGCGTTTGTGTGAATGTGGAATGTCATGGTGACTATTTGAATCTGATTGGTCACAACAGTGAAAAGCCAAAAAATCCAACTTTAGTTACTTCCAGTTGAAAGAAAAGCACAGACATCTTCCCTGTCCACAAAAACACAAAGCTCTTACTTTCTGCACATTTTTCACAAACAGAATAGTCTGTATTGATGCTAAAATTGTCTGTCAGCACCACCGTGTTTGTTTTGGTTTGTTGGGGCTGTTCGCCTTCTAGACAAACCTCAGAGCTGCTCTGTGATTGCTGCACTTGTCCACTAAACTGTACAGTGGAAGTATCTCAAGGTGGATTTGCCTGAATTTGTGAACTCAAATATCACAAGAATCCATTTTGCTGTGCAGCGTTTACCTCCATCTATGTCAGAGATGTCCAAACTTTTTTTTTTTTTTTTTAATCAAGGGCCACATACGTAAACACAGACGAAGCAGAGGGCCGATCGAGGGCCGAAGACTGGTGCTCAGTACAGTGAATAATTGAAATATGTGCATGTTTAACAAGTTAGAATGAGCCATCAGTCTTTATTCATGCTAAGATCCTTAAAACCACAAACTAAATATTAAATATTAACTTTATCAAGGCAGGGTTTCAAAAAACTTGCAGTAGAAAGTTAATTTTTAATTGATGCAAGGTAATTTGGGCCAATTCACCTGGAGGCCTGAGGGCCAAGAAAAATTTGTCTCAGGGCCGTATTTGGCCCACGGGCTGTAGTTTGGACATGCCTGATCTATGTGAGCCGTAGAAAGACCACTTTACATAGAAACTCCATAAACTCTGAACTTGAGGCTTTTAGACAGATCTTGAGCTCAGATCTTGTTTAGTTTAGTTTAGTGTTTAATTGGGAAACCAATCAGTGTGGAGGAAACTCACCCAGACATGGAGAGAACATGCAAACTCCTCACATACGGTAAATCCCCAACCATATTGCTATGAAGCAGCAATGCTAGAAACTCAGATACAAGTCTATTACATCTAACTGAAGATTTAAAACTAGATTAAGCCTTTTTAAATCCTAAATCCTCCCAATCCACTTCAAAGTCAAAAACACAGTGAGTCTTACTTAGATTTACTGTTTCTGTTTTCTGTCATTGTTATTTTAAATGACCTCTCGCTTGACCCGAGACAATCTCTTACCTAACCTCACGGCTGCACAGACTGTTTGGTCTGGTGCTGGTGTTGCTAATCTTACAGTTTGTCCGAATGTGTCTCTGTCTGACTTTGATTGACCTCTGTTCGCGTGTGGATTAGCGCTGACAGCTGCATCCTGCCATTAGCTCAAACACGCACTCACATCGATAAGAGACACCAACAGGCCAATTACAGACGCTGCAGCTGCACACTCAATGATCAGGGCTTTATTTAGAGGCTGATTGCACCTCCTCACATGGAAATGATGTTGCCTCAAGCTATAGGTCCTTGTGGTGGCTTAAAAGAAGGGAAACCAAGCCAGAAGAAAACCAAAGCTAAATTTTAAAAAGGTAGAAGCTGTATTCAAATCTAGGGTACAGTATAGGGTGACCAAATTCAAAACTCAGAACTGGGACACCGGGTTGGTAAAAATAAAATAGTGAAAAGAGCATGTAACATTGTTCAGTGGATCAGTCTGTGCATTGTTTTTTTGGGGTTTTTTTTGCATTATGGTCATTTTCAAGCACGTTTTTTGTATTTTAGTTAAACAAATGACAATATAATCCCCTCTTTACTGTTCGTACTTGTATAAAACCAGGACAAATGAATTGTTTTGGATTAATCTGCTTGGAAAGAGGACACAGGGCTTAAAACTAGGACTGTCCTGGGTCAATAGGAACGTCTAGTCACCATATTACACTATTTTTGGAGGGAATATTGTGGGGAGGCATAGAGGAGTGTGGAATTGCTGCTCTGATGTCTTGACTATTATCGAGTGCAGTCAGTAAAATGAATCACATATATCCTCATATTGATCACTTACAATTTTAAACTTTTAAAATCAAATAAAATGCATTTCAATATATAGATTTCTTGCAGACTTTTAATCATTGCCATTTAACACAACAAATTGTTAAAAACTCCACATGGTTAATCCGTGTCTCATTTGTTCATTTGTTTTTCAAAAATAAAACCAAAAATAAGAAAACAAAAAAACTACTATTTTCTTCATTATTTGAAAAAAACGGGATGATTTGTTTTTTTCAGTTTTCGATTTTGTGTTTAAATGAGTCCCTGCTTAGACTGCTGCCTCCGCAACCCGGCCCCGGATAAGCGGAAGAAAATGGAATGGAATGAATAATGGAAAAAACAAATAACGGCCTTTTCTTGTTTCGTGACTTAAACTGTGATTCCGGACTTTTGCGCCGCATACGGACTGAACCCAGACTAAACTGACAGATGATTATAGCTATGTTTGTGTGTTGAAATTAAAGGAGAACTGTATAACATTTTTACCTTATTAAACATATTTTTAAGTAATTGTGATGGTGAAATATGTATTTTAACTGGCTCTTTTTAAAATCTGGCAACATTATACGGTATATGTTTTATATGTGATTATACCTTGGTCAGATCTTTCTTGAAAATGAGACTCTTAATCTCAGTGGGACAATTTATTGTCCCATTGACAGTTGATCTTGAAAGTCATATAAATTGCAAAAATCTAAACTATATTTGGTACTCTTTTGGTTTAAAGACTTGAAATGACTTGAAGCTCAAAGCAGATGACTTGGACTTGACTTGGACTTAAGGGCCAGTTACTCGAGACTCGACTTGGACTTGCCTGTCTTTGACTTGGGACTTGACTCAGACTTGAGGTCAAAGACTTAAGACTTACTTGAGATTTGATAGACAACGACTTGGTCCCACCTCTGGCCTCTAGTGTGAATCATTTCTTTATTCCAAAGAAATAAGACTTAAAAGTACTGAATAATAGTCATTTTATTATGTAGTAAATTATGTAAAGGATCATGGCCTATGCAGTTCCTTTTTTTTTTTAAAAATACTTTTAAGTGAAAAACCTTGTGACCAGTCCACAATATTATTGTGAGAGTTTTGACAATACGATATCAAGATATTTCAGTTATTGTTACATCCCTACAGACCCCCATCCAAAAAGTTACACAAGGCACCGTTACTATATAAAAATTTAGTTATAATTTAGTCATATTTAGTTGTTATAGGCAAGACTTTTTTCATTTGGTATTAAAGATGTAACATTTTACATAACAGCTGACGACTCTAACTTCCATCTGAATTATGCAAAGTAAAAACTGCTTTGAGTGCTTGAATTCAATACATTATGAACACGGAATATGTTAGCGTTTTTAAATGTCATCCTGTGTCACTGCCTTTTGTTTTGCTCTGTCTCGTTTTGAATCCTCCTGAATGCATGTTTTTGTATTGTATGTATGCAGTACTTGCCTATAGTGATATTTCTTGCACAGTTAACCTTTTCCTCTCCCCCTCTCTTCTCTGCCTCTCCCTCTTTCTCTGTTGCAGCATCATCCCTTCTTTATTCAATCTAATTTGACTCCTTCTATATTTGTCTTTCTCTGTGTAACCCAGTATTTGAATTACTGCACTGGAATCAGCAGTAGTAGTCCAATAACGGTGTGAAAAACAATTGTGTATGTCTGTCTTCTCTCCCCTCCTCCATACAATTCAAAACTCTCCCAGTTGACTATGATTGGCTGAGACCGCCCATTGGACACACCCATGTTGAGGTGTGTGACTTCGCCCACTGCGATACCTGTATGTCATGATGGCATATATAGAGTCACGGTTCTATATATGAATTGAAATCTTGGAAACCAAAAAATTCAGAATGCAACTAAGATGAAATACAATGTAGATTAACTGCTCACTGCAACCTCTTTATTTCTGCTCGATTTCAACAACTGCCAAACTCACTTTAGGTTGTGTTCACGTGACATTCAAGAGTCAAGAATTCCAAATTGAGCTGGAGGTCAGGTGATTTTATTTGCAATTTTAATGTTTTGACCAAGTGTATGGGTAATATCCATAGACTGTATAAAGAAGTGAATCAGAGTGAAAGTAGCAGATTAAAAAGCAGTTTTTAAGACAATTGAAGGATTTTGAGCTGAGAAAAAGTTGTTCTAATACGTAAAAAAAAAAAAAAAAACTATAGTTACCCTGTCAACCATACACAGGCCGTTTGTGATTAAACTGCTCTCTATGGTAAAAAAAAAAAAAAAAATGTTAATCTTTCTGGCAAGAGGGATTTTTTTGTTGTTGTTGTAGTACCAATGAGTGGCCACTAGTTCAACTCGAGACAGCTTTAATAAGGCTACGTTCAGACTGCAGCCTGAAATGATCCAAATCCCATTTTTCGCCCCTATGCGACCTGTATCTGATCTTTTAAAGACAATCTGAATGACACAGATCAGATTTTTTTAAATGAGACCCAGGCCACTTGGATATGTGCTCCTAAAACTGATACATATCCGATCTTTTGACTTGCGACTTCAGTCTGAACGGCCAGGTCGCGTTCATCCCACCTACACGTCGGACTCTGAGTCGCGTCATTGGAGTGAACATGAGGTTAGCGAGTTAATTAATATTTTGGGGGATCACTGTATTCAGGCCAAGTTGGAGGGGTTTTATCGGAACCGGGCAGTTTTTGAAATGATTGCCAAAGAAATGGCCGAGAGCGGCTACAGGCGGTCCTGGCTCCAATATCAACAAAAAATAAAGAGCCTCCGAGCCAAATACAAGGAGGCTAAAGACTCAAACAAACAAAGCGGGAGTGGACGTGTAACCTGTCCATTTTACCAAGAACTGGACCGTGTTTTGGGAGACAAGCACAGAGTTTAGGCGACTTCCGTAAACACCAAGCACGCTCTCTGTGTGTGACTTCGTTGTGTCCTTCAACACTTTTGGGGCATTTAAAGTTCACACTGGAGATCACATACAAGTCGTATTTAATTGGAAATGTGAACAACCTCGCAAAAACATATTTCACAAAAAAAAAAATAAAATAAAATGTAGTGTAGTGTAGTTACCAACATTGTGCTCAACTACCAACTGTGATAAAACCCATTGAAGAGTGCATACGTATGAGCTGTTTGGAATCATCTTGAATTTGGCGCCTCATCTCTTCTATTCACATGTACCCAGTGCACTCAGAGTTGTGCGTCAGTGGGGAAATTATGAAAAGTGAAGTATAGTAGTAATAGTTGATTAGCCGAACATAATGGAATGCTACATTGACATGGAGACTGAAGAAACCTGGGTCATTTTCTAATTTTTCCCAGATTTTGTCAGACTTACTACCACGAACAGAACCGGAAGTTTTCATTGCATGTTTCCGAACGTCTTCCTTGTTTGTGACGTAAGAGAGAATAGTTCCAGCCAAATGAAGCTAATTGAAGCAAGCAGTTATAGTGACTAATTTGGAGCCAAAATCCATATTTAAAATGCAAGCGTGTGCATCATAGCAACCAAAACACCAATCCAGAGCGAGTTGAGTGTGCTGAAAACACATGCCCATTCTCTTAGCTTAGTAACGCTGTCAATCAAACCTGTTGCTAGTCCTCATGGGGGCAACTTCTGGGAAAAAAGCCGTCTGTTATTAACGTTCATATCTTGATTTATGAACAAAACAGTGAAATAAAAACACAAGGATCATGTAGAGAAGGTTAATATGAACATTTTAAGATCAAAATGACGAAGCTCAAAGCAGCAGTTACAGAGAGAAAAGTGGTGTTTTTTCAGTAGAAAGAGAATGGGAGCCAGAGTCGATGGAGCTAAATGGCGCCCGTGCTCACTTCCTATTTGGAACAAGGTGACTTGCGGGCCAGCTATGCCCATTATATATACAGTCTATGGTATATACACATAAAACTAAAAACATATTTCTAAAAAGTGGTTCTATTTTTCAAAAAACAGTGGTACAATTGTGCATCAAAACAAAATCGATTCGTTTTAACATTTGAGTATGTTCTGTCCCCTGCCCTCCACCTGAAATTCTAACATTAAATCCTAGAATGCAGTGAACGCAACCTACTGTATCACCAAAAACTAAATCCGAACTCAACCAACAAAACAATTGAAATTACGAGCGGAAATAAACTTGCATGTAACGAGCAATACTAGAACGCACGCAACATTAACGCCAGTGTGGTCGACTATTAGCGGACGATTGCCTGCAAATGCTGAATGCAAAAAAAAAAAAAAAAAACATCACCAGAGCTAAGCGACCATCCTTTGAATCAAAACGGATGGGGGAAGTATCTCAGGATGAATTATGTGTCTAATCTTGTGTGTTTGATTTTTGTGTAGTGTGGAAGTGCCATGGGGCGTGCGTGGAGGTGGATTCGGACACAGAAGCGGTCGCCCATGAGGGCTTTAAACTGGGCTGTATCTCCTGTAAGGTGAGAGGGGAGGTGCCCGCTGTGGCCTCTGTGGACTGGTACTTCATGGCAAAAGACGAGACAGAATACTCCCTGGTAAGTACAAAGTATATATTGTCCTATAGTATATACAGTAGAAGTAAATTTACAGTGATTAAGAGGTCCATTTTATGCTATTTTCTGATCTATGTAATAATGTTGTTTCCTCATCACAAACATACCTGGAGTTGTGTTTTGTTTCATACACGTGTTTAACACACAAATCCTGCATATTTAAAGTTCTTCTCTCAAACAGAAAACCCTCTGTTCCATCTTGTGATGGTAATAAATATTTTCATGAATACTTTTGATAATCATTAAATTGTGGGATGTTTCATTGTATTTTTATCTATGTTTGAATCGACTGTATTTAATCTAAGGCAGGGGTGTGAAATTCAAATTCACAGAGGGCCAAAATTAAAAACTGGGTTTAAGTTGTGGGTCAAACTAAATATTTACTGCATTTTTTCTCTTCTTTTGAGATATGTAATGTTAAACCTTTTCTTATTAAAATAAATGTTTAATAATAGTTTTGCTTAAGCATTGAATCCAGAACAAGCATAATATAAAATAATAACAACATTTTAAATAAATAATGTCTGTAGCCGGTGGACCAGCTCTAATACATACTTAATATGATCTCGCAGGCCAAATATAATTATATTGCAGGCCAAATTTGGCCCCTGGGCCTGATCTGAGGTGTGAAAAAGGTGTGAAAAAGTAGTTTAGTAATGCAGAGCTATAATGTTCAATTTTAATGTATTCATAAGGTGGAGGCTTTAATATAAGCCCTTTTGGGAGTTTTTTGCCTCTTCCAGCCCCTACATTTCATCCAGTGTGCTTTTTTTATATATGCTATATATATTTATATAAGTTATATATGTACAAAAAAACAAACAAACAAACAAACAAAAACTCCATGCACGTTCACTAGAATCATTTGAATGATTTCAGCCCTGGAATTGCCCATTTCTACTGAAAAAAGGTAAAAGGTAGCTGTTAACTTGACATAACAAGAGCATTTTGAGTGCTGGAGATGTAGACAGAGGATTACTGAAACATGTGTGAACAAAACACAGCTAGGTATGTTTTTGAGGAGGTAACAACATTATAACATGGCTTCAGGCTCACAAGAAATTTTTTTTGTGTAATAGAGGACCTTTAACAATTCATTGTGTGGTCAGTAAGACGAGCAAGCACAGCTGTTTGAGTTTGACCTGAGAGAGGAAGTGGTGTCCAGACTGTTGATCCTCTGTATACATGTTGAACTGCCTGCAGTATAAAGGATACATTAAGTTATTTGACTGATTGAAAAATAGAAAGCATTAATGACACTAGGCTGTATGATTAAGGAAATCCTCCCAGACTGCCTGTATGAGCTCCACTTATGAAAAACGCATATGCCAAAATGAGAAAGGAGATAAGGAAGTACATTTTTCACACCTGGTTTGTACACTTCCAAGGCTAATAACTGTTATACCGCTGAAAGTCAGAAAAGACCATCACACCAAAATATAATGGTTGGATATAGAACTTTTCAAAAATCACTGATAGCCCTCTCCACCAGAGTGACACTGAAATTTTGCAAATGAGAAGATGCTAAATAAAAATTTAACACACAAATCCTGCATATCTTGGCTGTGTTTTTTCTCAAATGGAAAACATCCACTTTGCGATGTCATGTGGTAATACAGGAAGTGCTCCGTTGTGTTTTAAACTCCATACACCTTCACTAAAATCATTTGGATAATGTCAGCCCTGGAATTTCCCATCTTTACAAAACAAAAGGTAAAAGGAGCTGTTAATTTGAAAACTACTACTTCATAACATCAAAGGTGGAAGAGATGTAGAATGATGAGATGGAAATGTAGAGAGACTAATAATAAAGGTATGTGAATGAAACAAAATACAACTCCAGGTATGTTTTTGTTGAGGTAAGAGCATTTAACACGGTTTAAAAGTCATATTTGCGTACTATAGGACCTGTAATGTAAATAACACGAGACACAGTGTTATATAACATGTTCTCAGTCAGGCTGCAGTTTCTCACCACTGAAAGCTCTTGTGCATATTTCATGACGTGGTTTTAGCGTTTGTGTCTGCAGCTCTGGCATACCTAAGCAGTCCTCCTCCGCCGCGCATGGACCATTAGCCCAAAGACACTATTAGCTTCCCATTATAAAAGTGTGCGCGCGCTAAGCTAATTCTCCAGGAGGCCAGAGGTCCCAGTGCAAAAGCAGATAGTGCAAAGTGCTCCCGTGGAGACAAATGGGCTTTTCCTCCAATTCAGATAATGTACACTGACACCTAATGGAGAGAGAGCTACATGACAGATGTGGACATTTCAGCAATTATAGAATCATGTGATCAACTTTTACTAAGAAAGAAAAGTCCTTAAAGCTCCTAGATTACACACAATGGATTTTTCTGAGCTTTAAGATACGTTATAATGCTGTTATCTCATCAAAAACAGACCTGGAGTTGTGTTTTGTTTCATTCACTCATGTCTGAGTAACCCTGATTTATTAGTCTTAATCTCCAAAACTCATATGCTCCAGCTTTCAGTTTAACAGCTAATACTTTTGTTCAGTAGAGAATGACAATCTCCAGGACTGAAACTATACAAATGGTTTTAGAGGAGGGGTATGGAGTTTAAAAACACAGTGTAGCACTTCTGTTTTACCATATGACACTTGACAGTTTTCAGTTTGAGAGAACTCAGCCTAAATATGCAGAATTTTAGATATGTGTTCATATTTGAAGGAGCAGTTCAAGAAACACAAATGTTCAGATCATTTCATATTACCAAGCTTTTGTCACTTGTACACTTACAGGCATTTGGACTATAAACTCTTCTACAAACTTTTTATTTACTAGTATTGTCTAGTTTAGTTCATAGTCCAGGTAATGATTTTGATGGTTAAAATACAACTATGATTATTTTTTATAGTCAACTAACCACAATTATTCAATTGAATCATTGGAGCCATAACTTTGAGATCACACTTCTCTTTACACTTTATTACCAGCTTTAAAACAAAATAAAAATAAAAAATTACTGTTTACCTTACAGTTGTATTCGTATGAGTCAAAAATGGGCATGGTCATTGACCAGAGGTTCTATGATCGTCTGGAGTGGTACGGAAGCAAAGACACTCTTGACCTTCAGGACGGCTCCATTTACATCGTCAACGTGACCTACAATGACACAGGCACATACCGCTGTGTGTTCCAGAGGACTCTGATCTACCCCAACCACGAGCACCAGGCCAACGCCAGCAAGACTGTACACCTGCACGTGGTGCACAAATGTAAGTGGAGTTCTTCATAGAGGTAGATCAGTTTTATGCCATACTGCAGAAAATTATAGCCAAAAGAACAGCAGTTACATGGAAACAAGCAGGAGGAGGCCTTCCTCCAAGCCAAGTAGGATTCAGGTTTGTGGAGATGCAAGCCTGCTCAGAGTAGAACAGATGTTTTTCAGTTTCAGGCACTCTTATTTTTATTTTCTACTTTTTGGCCAAAAAGTTACATACTGTGGTTTAACATCTCATAATTACTATAATTATACACATAAAAAAACAGGAAGTTCAAGTTCAGTTCAAATGATCATCATCAAACCTCTCCCTGTACGTCCTGTGCTCTGTTGCCGCAGTGACCAGAGGAATGGCGTCCATCTTGTCCGAGGTCATGATGTACGTGTCCATCATTGGGCTGCAGTTCTGGCTCTTGGTGGAGATGATCTACTGTTACCGGAAGATCGCCGCCGCTGGAGAGGAGGCCCTGAGAGAGAGCGCGTGAGTACAGAGTTACTTGAAAAAAAATAAATAAATTACTCAAATAGGAGTAAAAGTACGTAGTCCAAAGAGTACTGCAATTTCTTTAAAAAGTTACTCAAGAACATTTTATGAGTACTACTCATCTCTGCCTGTGCATGGACAGAATGACATCTTCTTTCTTCCAAAAACTGAACTTGTCTTGGCTGTCTCTCCTGACCTTCTCCTCTCCCCTCCTCTCTTCTCTCCTCTCTTTTCTTCTCTTCCTCAGGGCTGAGTATTTAGCTATTGCGTCGGAAAGTAAGGATAACTGTGCAGGGGAGCAGGAGGCAGAATAGCAATGGTAAGATGTGAGACTTCTAATTTCATATTACCATTTTCACATGCGCTCTATGCTGTCTTATGATATTTTTATTTTCAGTCATTCTTTCATTTTTCACCCTTGTTTGAAAATCCATGGAGATGTGAATGCTCTGTCTGAAAAGTTCCACAGTATGGTATTGGGCAGAAACATAAAAATGTGTAGCTCAGCTGGTTCCTTGATGTAAAGCTCTTTGAGTGCCTTGAAGGTGGAAAAGCACTATATAAAAATGTGACCATGCACCATTTACTCCAAAGATCCAATCTGTAACTTCACTTGGTGGGATCTTCTGCTTATCTCTCTGTAGTTAGAAAAGTTTAATGCCATACTGTGGTACATTCCAGGTTAGACAATAAAATCTCCATGCAGACCAGCACCACAAAAATGAAATAGTGCACATTTTAAGTTATAGAGTAGAACAAGTACCTTTAAAAGTGCACTGTGTAACTTTTTGGTTGGGGTCCATCACCTGCTTGTTTCTATGGATATGACATTACTCAGCCTGGAATGTTCCACAGTGTGACGTTAAACAACTCTACTTATATTATTAAATTACAGGTGGTTATATAGCTCAAAAATACTTAAAAACAGGCATACAGATTGTGAGCGTGGATTTGATGGATCCCCCACCAGAAAAGTTACAAAATGCAGCTTTAAAATCTTCCAACAAACCACTGCACGACTATTAAAACATAATACCTCATGTTCCACTTTTACTTTCAGATCTAGGAGGAATTCAAGAAGAGTTTCGGTGAGGTGAGCTACATTCATGCATTTTTCATGGGCTCTTGAGATGTTCCACCACCACCATCACCACCACCTCTCCACGTGACAAGGCCCCACACGGCACACCCGGACTGGGCCACGAGCTGCGGATTCAGCCTGGATAAGGACTGGGCCCACGGGGCACTGGAGACTTGTACATATGTGTAAACACAAAGGACTCATGTACATTATATATACAGGATCTGATAGGCACTCACTGTGTAGTCCTGCATGAAAAAGCTTTGAAAACATTACATGCTACTGGTGGTCTCTACATTCAACTGTCACTAATATTATGAAATTTCAAAATATGGGTTTCAAATAGAGATGCACTGATCCAGTTTTTTCAGTTTCGACACTGATTTCGATACTATAGCTTCATATATTCGCCGATACAAGAGCAGAGACTGAAAATTGTATTTGAATTCCTTTAAAGGTGAACCGTGTAACTTTTAGGTTATGGGTGCATCACCTGCTGGTTTCTATGGATACATCACTGCTCTGCCTGATATGTTCCACAGTATGACTTTTTAAACAGCGCTATCTTACATTTATTCAACAAACAAGTGGTTTTATAGCTCAAAAAATAATTAGAAAAACATGCATTCTGACTGTTAGCAGGCTTGCCCTTCCACAGATCTGACCTGTAACTTGGTCTGGTTTGATCTTCATGAAGATAGATATACCATACTGTGAAAGACAAACCAATAACATCTCCATGGAGAAAAGCATTTGGTGGACCCTCCACCAGAAAAGTTGCACCTGCACCTTTAAGTAACAAAATTTGACATTAAACACATCCAGCTCCAATGAGACGAGCAGATCAGCAGGTCAGATCTGTGGACAGTAAAAAGAATGGACTTTTTTTTTTTAAGGTATTTTGGAGCAATAAAAAGGCCTGTGATGAAATAAATGCTGAAAAAAAAAGTTTAATGCTTCCAAACAAAGCACAAGAGCAGTGAGATCACCATGGAGACAGCAGGTAGTGTACACTCCAATAGAAAAGTTACGCAATGCACCTTTTTCGTCTCAAATTAGTTAAATGAGCAATTTCCAGTAGTCAGTGTTTTCTATGTGTATTATGAACACAGTACATGAATGAGCCAATGCTTTTTTTTTTTTTAAAGAATATTGGCTGTTGTCTTAAGTATAGGCGTATTTTCGTCGACCAGCTGAGTTTAGGTGGGTGTGATTGATAGGTGGATTAGCCAATCATTGACTCTCTGGCCTGTGCCTATCAGAATTAAAAGAAAGAAAAAAAAGAGGGGAAAAAATCACAGGGATAGGGGTGGGCAATGAATCAAATTAATCAAATTCATTTCAATCAAGTTTTTAATTTCAAAAAAAAAAAAAATCTAAATTTGATTTTTTTGGCCATATCATCCAGCCCAGATTTATGCAGGATCAATGAAATGTCAGAAAGTTTGTTCAAAATGATGAGTGACCAATGAGCTCTTTGGCTTCACAAACGTCTCTCTGAATGTGGCTCGAGGATGGAGGGACCTCCCTCTGTATGAAAAATACACAGATATCATCCTCAGCAATCTGATTATGAGAATACACAAAGACATTAACTTCATATAACTTTATAGCACAGAATTTGGTGAAAACGATAGAAACCTGCATCCGTATCAGCCACTAAAGTATCGGTAATCAGTATCGAACAGTGTCGCTTTCGAATCTGGGAACTGGTATCAGCCATGAAAGAAACCCCCAAAAAACTACATATCGTCATCCTCTAATAATAACTGCCATTTCACATGTTGAGCTCAAAGGTTGGCAAAGACTGTTTAGGATTTCACTGTGTAAAGTACTGCCGACTCATCTGAACAGGGAAGCCCGCCACTGCCCACTGGAGTGTAGAACAGGTCTTTTGTTTTTAGTGTTCTGTTCACAATGCTATCATCATTTTACTGAATGTATAATCATATCAAGTTTGTCCCTAATGGCTTGCCGTAAAAAAAACTCTGGAGGACAATGATGCACAATTTAACCTGCTAAGAAACTGCCAAAAGCTGAGTTCTTTCTAGCCAACTAAAAATATGAGCATTTAAAGATGCAATATGAAACTTTTGTGGTTGGAGGGTCTGTCATCTGCTTGTCTGCATGAAGTGTTATTGTATGATAGGTATGGTAAGGTATTGGTCAGATCTGTGGAGAGGCATGACGGCGCTAACTGTCTGAATACATGTCTTTTGAGGTATTTTTGAGCAATAAAAACACTTGCACTCAAATAAACACAAAATACATAAGTTGCTATAATGTGCATGGAGACAAGCAGGTAGCAGACTGTCCATCTTAAAGGTTACGTAGTGTATGTTTAAATAATGCCCATCCACCAATCAACACTTTTAAGGAAATCTACTGCATAATCCATTAGCTGATAACATTGCTTAGAAATATATGGAGACTTCTGCCCACTCAAACGCTCGAGATGAATTCTGTATCTTGTTCGAAAATCATCTTTTGAGACCTACTCCAAAGCCTGATGTCAATTTCAACTGGATCTGTGGTGGAAGGTACAAGAAGTACAAAAGTAAAAGTACAATACTTAAGTACAAATTTTAGATATCTGCACTTTAAGTAAATTTTAGAGTGGATACTTTTTTACTTTTACTTCACTACATTTGAGAGCAGGTATCTGTACTTTCTATTCCATTACATGCTGCTGAAATGGCTTTTAAAAAATATTTTTTAGCACATTTAATTTGAGTTTCCATTCCAACACAATAAAACAAAACAATTCTTTACAACAAAACTTTACTCTTCAAGTATACATATGTAGATTTTTTCATGTGATACTTTTACTTTTACTTGGGTAACGTCTTGTCCTTGTATTTGTACTTTTACTTAAGTAACAAAATCGAGTACTTCATCCACTACTGCCTCAGTGAAACACAATACTTTTTCTATTATATATTTAACATACTCTCACACCAATGTCTTAATGTTTTTGTAGTAATTCAAGGGCTTTGGCTAATTTGCTAATGTCAAACTGCCGTGGGCAAAAGTTCCACTAAAAATCTCCAGCGTGCCTCCCGAAGTGAACACAAGAGACGAAACCAAATAAAAGGGAAAGACAAGCCTCGTGAAAGCTTCTACGGCGACCACAAGACAGCAGCCGACCACAGCTGTTTTGCATGATTTTGTACCGCCACCAGTTTGATACACTTTGAAATTGATACTTTGCGGCTGACGTTGTCAACATTCCCTGTGGGGAGTGGAGCTAACTAGAGGCACTGCTCTGTCTGAAGCGCTGTTACTCCAGTTAGACTTTAATCTGAACTTTGTTTAAGATCAATCTGACCATAAATGACTCGGTTGAAACTACAAGAGAGTTGATTCGTGCTGTTAAACAAGTCCCTCTCCCATTACATTAGAGTTACAAGCTGGCTACCATTGTCCAGTTTTCAGTTTGTCACACTCACCATTTTTAGGTGACCAGACGTCCATATTTACCCTGGACAGTCCCAGTGTTGAGTCCTGTCTCCTCTGTCCCAGCAGATTTATCCAAAACCAGTGATTTGTCCCAGTTTTATACAAGAAATGTTCCAGATGTCCCTGCCAATACTAAAGAGAGGCATGAATTGTCATTTGTTTAGGTAAAATACAGAAAAGCTGCTTTTAAAAAAATGACCAAAACGCAAAGAAAATGTGACTATACTGACTCACATTAGTGCCAAGTGCATAATAATTCAACTTAATTAGCACTCGTTTCACAGTTTTGTCATTATCAATCAACCCAAACCAGGGATGTCCCAGTTTTTTACTTTGAAAATTTGGTCAGCCTACCCTCACTATCTACTATCCGCATTATCCGACAGATTTCAGTTTGTCACACTCACCTTTTTTTTTGAAAATCCAGCCTCCTTCACATAGCATGACCAGACGTCCCTATTTACCTAGAACAGTCCCAGTTTTGAGCCCTGTCTCCTCATCCAAAACCAGTGATTTGTCCCAGTTTTATACAAGAAATGTTCCAGATGTCCCTGCCAATAGTAAAGAGAGGCAAAAATTGTCATTTGTATAGGTAAAATACAGAAAAGCTGCTTAAAAAATAACCAAAACACAAAGAAAATGTGACTATACTGACTCACATTAGTGCTGAGTGCATAATAATTCAACTTAATTAGCACTCGTTTCACCATTTTATTATTACCAACCAGCCCAAACCAGGGATGTCCCAGGTTTTTTTATTTTGAAAACCTGGTCACCCTACCCTCACAGGCTCTTTTGTATTTTTCCTTGAGTTCTAAAAACTTATCAGGCAGTATTTCCTTTTGTGTCACCATGGGAACTACTGAACTGCCATAGACATACATGCAGTACCCCTACCCCCCAGAGCGATGTCACTGCAAGGTATCAATCATTTTTAACTGCATGTGAGCTACAAATGGGATTTTAGTGTAAATGAATAAGGGCAGATATTATGGGATGCTTCTTAATGAAATCTTCTGTACCATTAACTGGCCCTGCTTGTGCTCGTGTCCATGGAAACAAATCTCCAATTGTCATTTCACATGCTGTGCAAATGTTGCTAGCCAAACGATATAAAAAATAAAATGTATAGAAGTATTAAGTTGTTGCGTTTTATTTGGATAGAAACTTATTGTGATGGAGTGTGCTCTAAAATAACATGACGTTGACTATCATGAGCTTTCAGTGTTGATGCATCTTTAAGTAATCCACTACTATCCTGAGTGGGAGGCTTGTGTTGACAAAAACCTTACCCCCATCTCCGCCCACTTCTCCATACATACTTGTGATTATTCAGAAAGGGCTGATTATGAGGAAAATGAAAATCAGCTACTTGAAATGTCTCTAGGAAGACATTCAGTTCTGTGGCAAACTGAACACAAAATAATAATCTGCAGAGGTTATACTCCCAAAAAAGCACAGCATTTTTAAAAACAAACTATATCGCTACTTCTGATGTGCTTGCCAACATTTGTCTGTAGTGAGGCCCCCATTCTGCACCACTGGTGTCCAACCTTGTGACATCACTAAGTGGCAATTTTAAAGTTAAAGATGCACTGTATAACTTTTCTGGTAGAGAGTTTGCTATTATTGCTTTGCCTTGAATGTTCTACAGCAGCATTAAACAAATATCTTCTTCTATCTCTGTAATTAGCTGTGTTTTTGTTTCTTAAATCTACCAAAAAAATCATGCATCGCTACCTTGAGCTGGCCACCTTCTCCACAGATCTGATCAGTAAATTGGCCTCCTGATGTGCCCTGTTTGTCTCCATCAAGATAGTTATATTGAATGCTATACTGTAGAACATTTCAGGAAAAAAAACAGCAGAGTTAAGCAGGTGGTGGCCCCTCTACCAGAAAAGTTACACAGTGTACCTTTGAAAACTGATTTACTCAACCCAAAGATGTTCATTTTTTCTTCTTATGTACTTTAACTTCTTGGGTTTTTTGGGTCATTTTGGGTCATTGGATCGTAAAACAACAAGTTCAAACACTGGATCAGAGAGACCACTCAAATCAGGAAACGAGGCATGGACAGCATTAACCGGGATGATGGAGCGTTCCTCCTTTCACACACCTGGGACACCCTCCTCCAGAGAACACTGGGCAACAGGAGGTGTGGTGAGTCTGAGCGACCTTCCAGGTCCATCAGGCTGACCATGTCTACAGGAAGTAACCACAGATGATACACGACACATCACCACCAATTCCGGGGACAGTTCTGAAGATGCAGCAGCAGCCGAAACATGTCAACAAGGTAAATACACTTTACTGCAGGCATGCCCAAACTATGGCCCGGGGGCCAAATACAGCCCTTAGACAAATTTTTCTTGGCCCTCAGGCTTCGGTGAAATGACCCATATTGCCTTGCATCAATTAAAAATTTATTTTCTACTGCAAGTTTTTTTTTTTTAAATCTAGCTTGATAAAGCAAATATTGAAGATTTAGTGTGTGGTTTTAAGGATCTTAGCATGAATAAAGACTGATGGCTCATTCTAACGTGTTAAACATGCACATATTTCAGTTATTCACTGTACTGAGCTCCAGTCTACGGCCCTCGATCGGCCCTCTGCCTTGTCTGTGTTTAGATATGTGGCACTTGATGAAAAAAGTTTGGACACCCCTGCTTTACTGAATTGTCTTTAAAAAGAACCAAGAAGTAAATTTACTCAACCCTAAAATAATCATATGTTGTTACCTTTTTAATACCTTTTTGTTTCACCCTTTGCTCAGTTGCAATCCATCGACCCCTGTGACCACCACCATCACACACTGCTTTCAAACTAGGCAATGTGGGTGAAGTGTCTTGACTAAGGACATGACGATTTTGCCACTGGTGCCTCACTGTGGGACCTGTCTCCCATCCAAGTACTAACCAGGTCCAGCCCTGTTTGGCTTCAGAGATTAGGCTTTGACAAGGAGGAGGTCTGACCTGTAACCTGGTCTGGTTTGGTCTCCATGAAGATAGAAAGGTTTAATAAGATACTGTGAAACACTGTTAAATGCTCCAGACAGAACAATAACATCTCCATAGAGACAAGCATTTGATGAACCCTACACAACAAAAGTTACACAATGCACCTTTTACCGCCCCAGTAGCTGCTTTCATGAAAGTAGAAGAAAAAACACAGGAAACAAACAGACAAAATAAAGACAGAGACAGCTGTGCGTGTTTTAGACATGTTCATTTTCCTCCATTTTTTTGTACAATCACATCTTTACAGTATATTCTCACTCTCTTCTGCTTCTCTCCCTTGGTCGAGCCAGCACCCCTCCCTCCCTCCCTCCCTCCTCCTCTTCTTCTATCCATTTAATAAATATTGTCTTTTTTCTTTTTCCTATTCAAACGCCGGCCGCGCACAGCAGGGCCCAGGCGATTCTGTACACATCCGCTCTAGTTTTTGGTGAGACGCAGAGAGAGAGATAGAGAGAGACTAAAGACTGGAGAATGGAGTAAATGTGGCGTACGAAAGTGGAGGATTATTTCACATCACAGAGGTTGAAATGAAAAGTCCTGTATTACACAAAATTTACTGTTATCTTTTAGCCATGTTATAATGTTGTTACCTCATCAAAAACATACCTGGAGTTGTGTTTTGATTCATTCACACATGTTCGAGTATAATCCTGTACTGTAAGGTAACACCTCTAAAGCTCAAAATGCTCTGTTCAACCTTGTGAAGTCATCAAGTGGTAGTTTTGAAGTTAGAGTTGCACTGTATAACTTTTCTGGTGGAGGGTCTGCCATTATTGCTTTGCCTGGAATGTTCCAGAGCAGCAATACACAAATATCTTGTATTTACTCCATTACAGGGGTTTTAATTTCTCAAACCTACAGCAAAACCATGCACCACTACCTTGAGCTGGCCCACTTCTCAACAGATCTGACCTGTAACTTGGCATGGTGATGTGGCCTGCTGGTCTCCATGGAGATACTTAAATTAAATACCATACTGTAGAACATTTCACGAAAAAAACAACATGGAGTTAAGCAGGTGGCGAACCCTCTACAAGAAAAGTTACACAGCTATTTTTAGTCTCACTTGAACTGATTTACGCAACCCTAGAATATCCATAAGTTATTGCCTTTTTATTATTTTTGTTTTACCTTTTGCTCAGTTGTGATTGCAACAGAAAAGGCTACAATAGTTCTGACATTACACAGAACTTATGCTTCATAAACTGGCAATAGGGCTGCAAATTATTCAAATGATTCTAGTGAAGATGTATGGAGTTTATTCCTGTATTACCACTAGATGACATAACAATCACAAGTGTTTTCAGTTTAAGAGAAAAACACAGCCTAAATATCCAAGATTTGTGTTAAATATGTGTGAATGAAATAGTATTACGATGATACTAAAACCCCTTAGTGGTCCAGGTAGGTTCCATAGTGGTCCATGGGCATATACTAGTCTATGTGCTCTCCTATTCAGGGCTTTTTTTAGTATCAATACCAGCTCAAATGAGAATCCACTGTCGATACTAGTTTCAGTATCGATTAGCATCCGATTTTCAATAGTTTTGAAAACCCTAAACGCAACACAAACACAACTCCAGGTATGTTTTTGATGAGAACACACAACACAAACACAACACAGATTAAAAAAAAAAAATGTGTGTAATATAGGACCATTTAAGTGACGCAATAAGACAGCAACAAACATGTGAAATCAAACGATTTTGACAAAAAAAGAAAAAATACTGAATTCCCTTTTAACTACAATGTTGGTTGGTCCATGTTCACCGTACATTTTCAGGCTAGGCAGACTCTTTGCTAATCTTGAACTCTCGTGGTCTACGTTAAAAAGAATGAAATATGAAATGTATGTAACAAGATTCCGCCAAACAATTCTCCCCAAGTCCACGCAATTCAATATTATTAATATTATAATACACTACTTTTTTTCAAACATTCAAAAAGATCTGTTTTCATTATTGCTCGACAGTGTTCACGAAGCTTGGTCCACACTTCGAAAATCACAAGATACCATGACCATAGATAGACATGACGATCAGATTATCAGAATAAATACTGAATGGTCCGATATACAAATTTCTGCACCGTTTTCACACAAGTTACAAATCCAGATGGAGTTGGATTATTTTGTGTTGACATCTAAAAATAGAATGGAAAAAAACGCTAGAATACAGTGTTCGTGATTTCCTCCGTCGATTCAGCAGGCTTTGAGGAAAATATTCTCCAAAGAGCAAACTCGTCCCTTCTTGAAATGCCTTTTGAAGAGTTTGCATCAGATTGTGGAACTGTGAGGATTGTGAAATGGAAAAATTCTGAAAAGTGAAGGTTTTATTGCTGTGGTCCTTGTAGCTTTCTGTCGCTAAACAGTTTGATTAAAAGTTGGCTGAGGTCGAACAACGCCGTTTTCAAGTGAGTCAGGACAAAAGGGGGTTGTGGGTAATGTAGTCTCTGTGTTTCCGTTCTGTGAGGAGACGGGAGGGGTCAGAGGTCAGGGGTCGGGCGGGTCGTCTGGTCCCTCCTGTTGCACCTCTGGCAATACAATGCCCCGATGCAGCTTCTCCAACGACTGCTTCATCTGAGCAAAGACAAAAGGACAAATGTTAAAGGGAAGGTGGGTTACATAAGACTCATGTGATATAAGAAGATCCACAACAGCATGTAACTGCCGCGGGCCAGCCATGAAAATAGACTAAAGCACACATACCAACCAGGGGCATGTTTTTACTATCTTTATGCTATGGAACAGAGCTGTTATTTAAGTAGTCAACAAGTCAAATGATTCTATTGAACATTACTGATTTTTCAAATACATTCATAACCAAATAAAGTGAAGTATGGTGCCTGGTGGTGAAGGTTTATCCACGAAATAAAGCCCTTTTGATTTAATAATAACACTGTAATCCGTGTATCATTCGTTTTTCAATATAAAACCAAAAATAAGAAAACGAAAAAAAAAACAAAAAAAAACAATTTTCTTCATTATTTGTCTCCAAAACCAAAATGAAAAAATGGATAAGGATTTGTTTTTACAGTTTTTGATTTTGTGTTTAAATGAATAATGGAAAAATTGGATAACGTTTCCTGTTTCTGTGACTGCGATGCCAGACTTTTGCACCACAAAACTGACTGAACCAGGACTGAACCAGGACTGAACCAGGACTGAACCAGGACTGAATCCAGGACTGAATCAGGACTGAAAAAGGAAAAAAACAGGACTAAACGGTTTTCAGTCCTGGTCTGGTCCCAATCTCAGTCCTAGTCCCGATCTCAGTCTCGGTCCTGGTCTAAGTACTGGTCTCAGTCCCGGTCTGGTTCCGACCTTTTTTAGTCCTAGTTTAGTCCGTATGCAGCGCAAAAGTCGGGCATCGCAGTTTAAGTCACGGAAACAAGAAGCGGACGTTATCCGTTTTTTTCATTATTCATTTAAACACAAAATCGAAAACTGAAAAAACGAATCATGATATATTTTTTCATTTTGGTTTTGGAGACAAATAATGAAGAAAATAGTTGTTTTTTTGTTTGTCTTATTTTTGGTTTTATATTGAAAAACAAATGAACAAATGATACATGGATTCACTGTCATTATAAAATGATGTTATAATATTGTTACCTCCTCAAAAACATACCTGGAGTTGTGTTTGTTTCATTCACACGTTTGAGTAATCCTTTATCCTTTATCAAATTTCAAAATGCTCTGTTCAACCTTGTGAAGTGGTAGTTTTTTTTTTTTTTTTTTTTCTTTTTGTTTAGTAGAAATTGGCAATTCCAGGGCAGAAATTATCTAAAAGATTATAGTAAAGGTGCATGGCATTTAAAAACACAGTGGAGCACTTCCTGTATTACCACATAACATCACAAGATGGAACAGAATGTCTTGAGTTTGAAGAACTCAGCCTAAATGTTTGAGTGTTAAATATGTGAGAATGAAACAAAACACATATGGGCTCTTTAAGTGAACAGAAAAAAAATAAAGCAAACAGAAAGCTTCAGTGACCTGCTTTTCAGATGTTGTTCAAATGTCAGTTTCTGTAACATCTGTAAACATCCTGTAAACCTGTGTACCTGGTCGAGTAGAGCCACAGAAGACTGTAGGATTTGCTGCCACTTGTTGAGCTGAGCCTGGTGGAACTGTCTTTGTAGCTGGAGAACCTGGGCCCACTCTGCAGCCGTCTGAGGGAGAGGGCTGGAGACACAAAGAAAAGACAATCACTATCAAGTTGCACTATGTAATTTCTAAGGTTGGGGGTCCGTCACCTGCTTGTTTCTGTGAATATGTCATTACTCTGCCTGGAATAATCCACAGTATGACATTAAACAGCACTACATTACATTTATTTAATTACATGTGGTTTTAAAGCTCAGAAATACAGATCTGACCTGTAACTTGTTCAATAACATTTCCATGGAGTATGGAGAAAAGTATTTGATGGACCCTCCACCAGAAAATTTACACAAAAAACAGCTTTAAACATTTTGCACATTTAGAATATTTTGGGGTATAATCTTGCTTCAGGGTTATTGTGTCAGTGGCATAAATTAGTTTCAGTATTGTAGTTTATTGTCCATTTTCTTCAGTAATATACTTTCATGATATTACAATACCTTGAACCTGGTGGTACTCCTACACACACCACTAGGGGGCAGTGTAACCAAACGCATAGTACAGTGCTCTATCGTGAGAAGCTTGTAAACGTTAATAATGATTCGACCTCCAGCAACAACCAAATTATTAATGCCCAAAGGGAGCAGTACTGAACAGTTATATAATACATCCATAGGGAAAATACAGTATGTTATTAAAGATACAGCATGTAACTTTCTGGAGATGGCATGTCACCTGTATGATTCGATGGAGATACAAAGTTACAACCACATTACGCAACATTCCCCATTGAGTTTTTTAAAGTTTTATAACATATTGCTGAAGATTATAGCCAAAGGAACATTATATCCATGGAAACAAGCAGGAGGAGGTCAAATGAGAGTCAAGTTTACAGAGATGCAAACATGCTCAGAGTAAGAATGCGTGCTTTTCTGTGCAATAAAATCGACCAAGAAGAAGAAAAAAAAAAGCTTTCAGTTTGCTCTACTGTTTGTTTAAAAGGTTACATACTGGAGCGTTAAATGTGTTTAAGTAAAAGTACAAAGAGCTGCTTTATCTGCATGCACCATATCAAACATTTTTAGATAGACCAAGTTTACTCAGATGTTAGCAATGTTCGAGCTGTTCCTAAAGTGAGATAAGATGTAATTTCCAAAACAACAACACGGAGAAATCGAGTTGCATCAAATCCCTGAGGTCAGCCCAAAATAACAATTAATGAAGAGCCTGGCCCCTGTGGGTGAAGAGTTAGGTACCGTGTGGATGGTGTTTTCTGTGGGTGAAGAGAGGGCACCGGTGGTTGGTGCTGTACCTGTCTGAGAGGGAGTAAGAGTGCCAGGTCTCCAGCGTGTGAGCGGCTCTCTCCAGACCGTAGAGTTTATAGAAGAGCAGCATGTTCAGGGCCACCAGGACCACCAGGCTGAGGAACACAGCAGATCAGAACATGCTCAGGATCAGGTCTGTCATTTTTAAGAGGATTTTTTCAAGTATGTGATCACAGCATGGACAAATACACTACCCTCTTTTTTCTACCAAAGATGGACCAAAGATACACATCAAGATCCTCAGGTAATAAAAAATGGCATAGGGTTCTTCCCAATATATTTAATTTCCTGCATTTTAGATTTGTTTTTTACATTTTATTCCAACAGGTGTTTTTATAATCCATAGGAAATATGATGAAATATGCCTGTAATTGGTCTTTTTTTTTTTGGAAAGATTGAACCGCAAGTTTTTTCCACATCAGATCTTTTGCTGCTTTTGGACAGTTTTTATATACTTTTGTTGTTTCAGAAATTAGCTTGGACATTGCATTGCCCACCTCTGTGTGGTGTTATATATATATTTTCTAATAAAATTATCTCCTGTTTTTATGTGCTTCTTATTTCAAGAAAAAAATAGACCATGTTGATGGTATAGGGTGACCAGAATAAAAAAAACTGGGAACTCCCCGTTTTGTTGGTGGTTGGTAATAATATATCTGTGACACAAGTGTGTAATTGAGGAAAATAATAATGCAGAGACCATTTATGACTAATGTGAGTCAGTATAGTCATATTTTCTTTGTGGTTGGGTCGTTTTTAAGCAGATTTTCTGTATTTTACCTAAACAAATGTATGTCTGTCTTTATTGTTGGCAGGTATCAGACTGGTAAAAAAATACAGACACTTGGGACAATAGGAAATACTGCATGATAAGTTTTTAGAACTCCAGAAAAAATACTAAAGAGCCTATGAGGGCAGGGTGACCAGATTTTCAAAATAAAAAAACTGGGAGATCCCTGGTTTGGGTTGGTTGGTAATAATAAAATTGTGAAATCAGTGCAAATTAAGAAGAATTATTATGCACTCGGCACTAATGTGAGTCAGTACAGTCATATTTTCTTTGTGTTTTGGTCATTTTTTTACGCAGCTTTTCTGTATTTTATCTAAACAAATGACAATTTATGCCTCTCTTTACTATTGGCAGGGACATCTGGAACATTTTTTTGTATAAAACGGAACAAAATCACTGGTTTTGGATAAATCTGCTGGGACATGGGATACAGGGCTCAACACTGGGACTGTTCTGGGTAAATAGGGACGTCTGAACACTCTAAGATGGTAAATGCACTAAAGTCAACAAACATTCCAGTGAATTACACATACACAAGTCAGAAAACACTCTATCACACTTCACCCACACAGACAAACAGATTCTATGGCAATGGAAAAATACAACCCTACAGCCTAAAACTAGTGCACATTTAGCATTATTTTATACTATGGAAAGAAGGCCTCTCATACTTTACCTGATACAGATCCTAAGCACAAGAATAGCAGAGCAGAGAGAAAGAGAAGAGCGAGAGAGGCATTGTGAGGCTGTTAGTTCAGACTGGATCAATACACCGGCAGCTCTCAATGGGAAAACATTTAGCCCGGGGATCAATATCGCCATGCTAGCAGTTGTGCAGAGCTAAATGCTAACATCAACACAACAGGGTTCACTGTGTTAATTAGGCGTGGGGACTGAGAGCTAAATACAGAGCGCAGTAAATATCCAGTGGCACAGGCTGGAGTAAGCGTTTTTAACAAGGAAGATGTGAGTGAACCAAAATGCTACGTGCGCTAAATAGATGACAGTACTGCATGCGGAAACACAAACATGCGAGTATGCGGCTACTAGTGGAGAATATTCAAAACGAAAAAGCAAAAACATAAAAATAAATGCATAAAATAAATAAATAGAAAGTTGTTTTATAGTAAACTTACATGAAGCTGACTATGAGGAGGATAGTGGATATGTTTTGTCCTCCACCTCGAGGCCGCTCTCCAAGTTTCATAAATTGGGAAGCTGCAAAAACAATGAATTTCAAATCTAGCGTTATCAAGGTATTACAGTGAAAAAAGCTTCTGGATTGTTCCATGAATTTGTTTCATATATTTAAAAAAAAAAAAAGTATTTTTTTCTGAAACTTGTGTATTCTGATATTAGGTTTCTCAAAAGAGTCAAGAGTTACTGTAGTTTAGTTCTGATGCAGATTTGCATTGGTCCTGCACAGTCCTGGTTTAGTACAGATCTAGTTCAGGTATAGTTCCAGTATTATTAACAGTTTGCAGACAATTTTGGTTGTTTGCGCAAGTATGAAAGCAGCTCCAGTATTAGGGGAGAACTTCGACAAACATTTTTGCTGTTGCAAAAGTGCAAGATTGTGCAGACATGAGGAAAATGATCTTGTATGATTTTTATTTCCATGTAAATTGGACAAAAAAGCTATGTTATCTCATGGACCAAACCTTCTATCTTATCCCCTCCCTATGGAGTGACCGAATGCTCCAGTTCCTGAAGTAAATTTTCCATTATTTTTTCCCCATAAACTTTTCTAAAAATTCAAATACTAAGAGTCTGTCTGTAGACATCACACAACTAACGCGGTAGTTTTAAGCACACCAAAAAGCACATTTACAATGCAAGGTTCTGCTAAATGTCTGAATAAAATAAAATTATAGGTCCTGTGGTCATTAGTTACCACATAGCTGATTATCCCAGACCAAGGGACAGTTTTTAATTTATTTATTTATTTCTAAGTCTATGAGAAAAATGACTGTGAAATTTAGTTTTGGATCTGTGGAGCGGGCGTCACTGTTGAGCTCCATTACCGATGCACATTTCTGTCATGTGATGCATTTCTAAATAATGTCTTCCTGGTTTGAGGATTAAGGTTAGTAAAATGACGTTATGAGACTCACTGGCTTCTCTCCTGTCGCGGTCCTCTCCCACGCCCCTGTCCCCCGCCCCTCCGGCCCCCAGGCCCACTCCCTCCCTCTCTCTGTCCCGGTCGCCCTGCCGCCTGGAGCATGTGCGTTTCCGTCGCCGTAGAGATGGGGGAGTCTTGGCGGTGTCAGGGCCCACTGGTTCACCTGTCGTCACCACAGACACCTCAGACTGGAGCAGAGTCTCCAGTTTACACACCTCACTCTCTACAAAAACAAAGGCATGAGTAAGAGGATAGAAGGCAAACAAAGGTAAAAACATGTTACTTAAAAGGTGCACAGTCTAACTTTCACCACCTCCTTCGTCATCAGGGAAATGTTATTGCTTTGTCTAGAATGTCCCACCGTATAGCATTAAGTTTATCTATTTTCATGGAGACAGCCTGCAATGCCTCCAGGCCAAGTTACAGGCCAGATTTCACTGTATTCGTGTGTGTTTTTCGTACTTTCACACATTCAGTGTTTTTTTTCTTTATTTTGACTACTTTCTTCTCTATGCATATTAAATGCAGAAAGCACTAAACATAAAGAAAAAAAAGAAAGGATAATATTGTAGCTATTTTTTGACACTGACACAATAACTCTAAAGCATAATAATCTTGGTAAACAATTGACTAACAATACACTATTGTTAAAACTTGAGCTGTAATAAATGTAAACATACACACACACGCACACACACTTTAAGGTCATATATTATGCAACACTGACTCTTGTGAGCTCTAAGCCATATTATAATGTTGTTACCACATCAAAAACTTGCTGAGTAACCCTCGTCTGTTATCATCTCCAAAGCTCAAAAAGCTCTGTTCCACCTTGTGATGTAGTTGCAGTTTTCAAGTTAACAGCCATTTTGTTGCTACTTGTAGTTTAGCAAAACTAAAACTTTTAAACAAAAAAAATTCACAATTCCAGGGGTGAAATTAACCAAATTATTCTAGTGAAGGAGTATGGAGTTAAAAACACAGTGGAGCACTTCCTGTACAACCACATGACATCACCAGATGGAACAGAGGGTTTTCAGTTTGAGAGAAGAGCTCAGCCTACATATGCAGCATTTGTGTTAAACATGTGAATGAAACAAAACAAAACTCCCAAGTATATTTGTAATGAGGAAACAAACTTATAACATAGATCAGAAAATAGCATAACATCCATCCTTTAAGTTCCATTTTAGAAGTTTAAGAGCAGATGGACCAGCTTTTGTGTAACTTTTCTGGTAGAGAGTCAGTCACCTGCTTGTTTTTGTGGATATGTCATTGCTCTGCCTGGAATGTTCCACAGTATGACATTAAACAGCTTCACTTCACATTTATTCAATTACAGATTATATATTTATAGCTCATAAATACCAAATAAAACAGGCATTCTGACTGTGAGCAGGATCGCCTCTCCACAGCTCTGATTTGGCCTGGTTTGGTCTCCAAGAAGAAAGTTTTAATATCATACTGTGAAACCTTCCAGAAGAAGCAGTAATGCCAACAATGCACCCTTAAGTGCTGCATTCTGTTATTTATTTATTTATTTATACAATTTTGTACATTTAGAATACTGTTTTGGGAATAATAATTTTGCTTTATGGTTTGGTTTCAATATAATCAATTATCTTGTATATTTTCATCAACATACTTGAAAACAGGCCTACAAACACCAGCAGTGACAGATGCAAATGATCCACAACAGAACTTCTCATTGTAACACATCAAAAGGCAGGAAAGCTAAACCCTGCTGCCTGTATTGTTCTAGATTGTGTGTCTGAGAAAACGAATCCACTTACAGCCTGTACGCCAGCAGCAGTACAGTGAGCGGGGGTGTCATGTGACTTACCCATGTGTCTATAATACTCTTCAATGCCGCTCCAGGTGTTCTTTTCAATCAGGGCTTTGACCAGGCTCCACGGCTGCTTCCTGTAGCAGATGTCAGAGGAAACCCTGTGCAGCGGATAAGCACACAGAGCAAGTTTAAACACAGGAAATTGAATACTGTAAATGCTTCATATTAAAGTTACATTATTCTTGTTTTATTCTTTCATTATGTATTGTTTTGTTTGACGTGAACAGCTATTTTTTCTAATTTCTTCCTGAAATTGCAATAAAATAAGCATCTCATCAAGTTTGATAAATATAAACAAGATAAGCACATGATTTGCTGAAATAGCACAATACATGATGAATACTGAAAGGCTGAAACCATAGACTGTATAAACTGTATATAAATGGATGTAGCTAACCAACTTGCCGTTGCGTTCCAAATAGTCAATGGAGCGCCAGTTTCATTTCCTGTTTCCAATTGATTTTATATTAAAACTTGTCACTCCTCTCTCTATAACTGCTACATTGAGCCTCCTCATTTTGGTTGTAAAATGTTCATATTAACTCTCTCGATTAGATCCAGGTGTTTTTATTTTGCTACTATGTATATAAATACATTCTTATTCCTAATATGTAAATCGCCTCCAACTTCGCTCCCATAACTGCTAGCCTCATGAGCTTCATTTGACTGGAGTAGTTGACTCAGTGCATCTCTAATATGGAATATGTCTCGACAGATTGTAATAAATTGATGTTAAAGGTGCTCTGTGTAACTTTTTCGTTTCTATGGATATGTCATTGCTCTGCCTGGAATGTTCCACAGTATGACATTAAACAGCTTTACCTTACATTTATTCAATTACAGGTGGATTTATAGCTCAAAAATACTTTGAAAAACAGGTATTCTGACTGTGACTATTTGTAGCCTGATTGAAATAATTTAAAGAGGTTTTATTACCGTAGGCGACTCTTCTGTTTGCTGACGGAGGTGAGGCAGTAGCGGTGGACAGTGTAGAAGTAGTCCTGGTACGGGATGCCTGAGGTGATGACTTCAGAGTCCACCACAAAACACTCACCTCGAACACTGCTCTTATGCAGTGTCTGAAAACACAACACAAAAACACAGGTTATCAGTGTTCTATGCAGTAATGGGAAAAATACTTTGAAAACAGCTTTATATTTGTTTCACCATGACTTCTGCATGTCCATCACTAATTGAAGAAGGAAAAATCACAAACAACATAGCAGTGTTTTCTATTTTTCTCACAGTTTGAAGCATAAATGACATGATTAAATACCACCATATATTCCTTTGAATTTAAAACAGTTTTTTCAATATCACCAAATGAAAAAGTAACTCAACTTTGAGTACCTGAATACAGGTACTCAAAATTAGTATTCTCAGTACATGTATTCAGTTGTTTCAGCAACACTGACACTAGTAAAATACAGAGAGTGTAATCATATATTGCCTAAAATTTATTAAAGATTTTTTTCTCATGTGTTTGAGCAAAATGGCCCAGTTCAGATATATGGTATAAGAAGCTCTTGAGGTCAAATTAAGGCTGCTGGGTACTGTCTACATCCAAGTTCTCTTTTTTAGACAGACTGTAAAAAAAAAAAAAAAAAAAAATTTTAGGTTACCTAACATTTTGAACAATTAGATTTTAGGGAGTTGATCACAGGACTAAGTACAAATGAGTCACATCTAGTAAAAAGATTATCCATCACATTCATATCCAGTGATAATACTCACTTAGCACAAAAGCTGAACTTGGTGTACATATGTAGACAGTACTGACCTGCGTCTCCACCACAGGGGCAGTTTTGGGACCAAGGGGGTTGTTCAGGGAGATGGTGTAGCTCAGTACTCGACTGGTGTTCCCTGTGGTGCCATCCTGCTGCCACTCACCCACTGTTAAATCTGCACAAAAATCAATAAAAATATCACATGACAACAAACAAAAAAGAAGAATGTAGAAATATTACAGTAGTACTGCACTGTATAAAGACATCTACATGCAAAAATGGCGAAGTGAAGCAGAAGCTGAGAGAAGAGTGAAAGTGTGGGTCTGCTGCGTGAAAAAATTCCTTAATTAGAGAAACACATTGTCCCCATCCTTGCAGGGCCTCTCTGTGGGGACGGACAGCCCACACACCAGACTTCCATTCAGGCAACTTCTAAATACAGAAGCTGACAGACATACAAATGTATAGATTTAAAGGTGCGTTACACAACTTTTCTGGAGATGTTATTGCTTTGTCTAGAATATTCCATGGTAGAGTTTAAAAGATGGATGCAAAGAGAGGCCTATATTATTATGGGTGATCCACTGAACAAAAAAAGGGCCCATATTATACTATTTTCTGATCTATGTTATCATGGTGTTTCACATACCTATTGTATGTATGCTGTGTTGTCATTTTTTGTTTTTTCTTTCCCACATGTTTAATACTCAAGCCCTGCATAATTAGTTCTCCTTGTGATGTCATGAGGAGGCAAAACAGGAGGTACTAGAGAAGACAGATTTCACTGGACACTTAATGTAAGTGGTTTTCTGAAGCCATGACACTGCCAAAGCCAACGAGGAAGCACCGTGTTTATTAATTATCCCCAACTATAGGATGGAGACAGTCTGTCCTCATTGCTATGGTCCAAAGAACACTGTCAACAGCAACTGAAGTAAATGAGCGATGTCTGTGCAACAGCGGAGATCAGCCTGGCACAACGCAGTCTGCCCACAAGAGTACACGAGCACTCATCGCATTACAAGTAGGATAACTGTCATCAACTGGTAAAAGAAAACAAATAAACTTGCAGATGGTAACTTAATTACATTGTCAACCAAATAAAGGTGGTGGTTGCAATATGATGACTATTTTCATTGGTGTGCCACACACATTGTCTGTATACATTACATATTATACTAGTACATTTGACAATACAACATAGCCTTGAAAACACAGTCAGTTCAAAAGGAGTTCACAACATACCTATAACTGCACATTACTTAACAGGAAAAACTTGTGTTCTTCCTTTCATGCTGTAACAAGTTAATACAAGTTCTCAGAGTGCATCATAGAAGGTAAATAGATTAAGGGCAGGTCAGAGAAAGCACTAAAAATACTCCATAGAACTTTATAGTGTCAGTTAGCCTAGTTAATGGTTGACGTACCAGTGAAGTGCCTCTGGGAAAAGAGGTGCTGTATGAAATGTGTGTCCGCAGAGAAGAGGAGATCGTGAAGTTTGTCCACGCTCATGCCAACCACAGAGTTTATGTGCAACCGCCCGCCCAGGTTGGCACAGAAAGACTCTACTTCACCTGCAACAAATAAGCAAGTTTCTAAGAACGGATATTTGTGTTTGATTAGGGATGGACCAACCCAGCTTTTTCAGTTCCAATATTAATACTTTGACTTTAAGCAACTGCCATAACTGTTGTTAACCAATACCTTTGTAGGGACAGAAAATGGCATTAATTTCCTTAAAGCACAGTTAATTTATTGCACGTGAGACCCTATAGTGTTCTGTAACTGCAACTATTTATCCTTCAAATCACTAGTAAACAGTTTTGTATGAATAAAAGTTCAAACAATATGAGATGTTCCAGGCCAAAATCTGTCTTATCTTATCTGTCTTATTACATCCAAATAAAGGCCCAGCCAGTCTGTTTCTATCTTATGAATGGCTAGAGAAAGAAATCTGACTTATATTAATTAAATGAACAGGCTACACTTGCTGGATGGACTATGGATGGGAGTATCGGTATACAAGTATTTATATATCGATAAAGATTAAGTACAAAAGTGGGTATCGATATTGTTATGCAAATATCAATACTAATTAACACACACATTTTAAGGCTATGTATACATTTTAGACATGTTAGGGCCTTTTCTTTCTTCTTTGTATCAACACCTTCACCAGCAGGATATTGGACTGACTCATCTGTGTCAAGTGTTCTGTTGGTCCTTTAGTGGAGGCAGGATGATAGCCCCATCTGCAGTCCGACTTCCTCAGGACAGTATCCCAGTTGTGTGAGAGTAAAAAAAAACCTCGTCCCGGTTTACAGTCCCGTGGACACGTTTCTGTATCTCGATTGCCTCTTTAATTCAGCGACAGTGTTTGTTGTCCTCAGTCCCAATGATGTTTGCTCCATCCCAGACCATAATATGGTTCTGTCTTTTACAGTGGTCAGAGCTGGTCAATTTGAGTTGTTCCTGTACTGCTTTGTGTTTTTTTGCTCATGTGCACACCTTCTCGCTGTTTCCTTACTGCATTCTGTCCTATGTTTCTTTTTTTGTGTAAAACTTTCCACAATTCTCTGATGAATGTCTTAATGCAGGACATGCAGGGTATTTTGTATATGACATTGCAAAATATCTTTTGGGTGAGTGAGTAATTGCCTTGGCAAAAAATGACATTTTTCGACATCTTCGGCTAGTTTCGGTTTTCAGTTTTCGGTACGGTTTCACTGGTGTATTGATACTGTGTTTTCTAATTGCCCTCAGCACCTTTTCTGCTCAGATTTATTTTTGTTTTTCTGGTTAACAGAGAGAGAGAGAACCACATTATGGACTGGGAGGGAGCAAACATTGGGACAGAGAACAACAAATATCTTTGCTGGATTAAAGAGGCAATTAAAATCAGGAAATGTGCCCACAAGACTATAAACCGGGACGAGGGGGCTTTTTTACTCTCACACACCTGGGATACTGTCCCGAGGAAGTCGGACTGCAGATGGCTCTGTCAGTGCCAAAACCTGTATATATCAGCTGACCGCACACATCACAGCAACATCACATGACCACTCGGAGGAAGACCACTAGTGAGCAGTCGAAACTGTCAGGTATGAAAACAAACCTCACTGGACTAACACTATTTACAGCCTAAATTAAATAATGCATAAGAAAAGACTTAATTTATAACAAATATTTTAAGAAATAATGAGGTCTTAGTAACTACTTATCATTACCCTAACTCTAAACCCTGAACCTTAATTAAGTAGTTACTAACCTTGAATCAGTTTTTATAAACTATTTGTCAGTTATGCATCAAGTCTTTGTTCATTCTTTATTAAGACTAATTTAAGATGTAGTTATATAAAGTGTTACCAAAACAAAAAAAAAACTACTTATCAGTAGTATAACATGTGGAATTGCAGCTATTCTGTTGCTGTTCTACCTGATTGCTAAGTCAACAAAATACTCCGCAAAGCTTGATAAAACAAATCATATCATTAGTAATATTTTTGCACCCTTATCAAATTCCAGGATAGAGATTTTTAAAAAATACACTTTTAACCAAATTAAGAGTGAGTGCATCAGTAAGTTACTACTGAAAAGTTACTTGATAGATACATAAGAGCTACATAATCCATTCTGTCACACAATATTTTTAGTTTTTAGGAAAATAAAGTCTATGTGTAGTCCCTGCACTGGTATTGGTTAATAGCAGATATCAACAAATAATTAAAGCCATAGTATCTGTATTGGAAATGAAAAATCTGGAACAGTGAATTTCTCATGAAGATTTGATTTTATTTAAATACATTTTCATAAATAATGCAGCTATAATAAAATGTCTTTTAGCATTTTACAGTCTGTATAATTGTCCAGATAATGATAATCAAAACACATCTCTGCTCATTTAAATAGTAGACTAACCCCAATTATCACAGTCCCCATACACAAGTACTTACTCTCTTCCTGTGTGTCAGAGGAGTTGCTGGGGTCTGTGGGCAGGTCTTCATCATTGGTAATGTCCAGTGAGGAAAGGTTTCCCAGGCTGGTGGTGTGAGCGGGCTGCATCTGATTAGTGGATTCTGACAGACTGTCCCCACCCTCCTCCAGATACTGAGATAGAGACAGAAAGACAGAGAGCCCAAGGGCGGTTAGAAGAGGCTAGTTAGAGCATCAGACCATTGTCATATGACTGTGTAGAGTGGAGCTGAGTCTGGCCTCATGTTGACGCAGTGTGAGCAGACATACCGCTGTGGCCACGGTGAAGTGAATGTGACCCTGCTCTAGAGTCTCACACAGACTCATCATTCACTGCAGGATTTGATCTGGTTTTTAATAGAGAAGGGAGCTACTGAGATGGGTTTAGCAGCTGGTAACCCAATATAACTCAATAATCATGACAAGATCATTTGACTTTTTTGCGCCTAATTCTCATTTCCCCCCAGTTTGAGTTAAAAGGAAACATAATTACGAAAGACTATGTGATTTCAAGTTTAATGGGAGAACTCACTGCCTTCAAATCTCAATTCAATTCACAGAGAAGGTGCACTACGTAACTTTTCTGGAGGAGGGTTAGCCACCTGTGTGTTTCTATGGAGATGTTATTGCTTTGTTGGGAATGCTCCACAGTATAACATTAAATGTATACATTTTTGTGGAGACAAGCGGGTTATGCTCCAACAAGAAGAATAGGTCAGCTCTGTGGAGAGGTGACCACGCTCACAGTAAAAATGCATGTTTTCCTGTGTACTTTTGAGCAACAGAAACCCTTAATTACCTTGTTGTTTAATTACCTTGTTGCTACAAAGTGTTACAGGTTTTTTTCTGGTCTGGTTTTATTAGACAGCTGTAGCATGAAATGGTGAGAGAGAGGGTAGAAACATTCGGTATTCGGTCAAGGGTGAGAAGTAAATATGTGTAATGCCTAAGCCACTACACCAACATGTATTGCCCAAGAGAGAAATATTTACTCTCATTTTTTTTTTTTTTACATTTTTTTTGAGGTAGTCACATTAAAAGGGTCCAAACTGCTGCTATGCTGCATTCTGATCTATGTTACAATGTTGTTTCCTCATCAAAAACATACCTCTATACATGTTTAACACACAAATCCTGCAGATTTACGCTGTGTTCTTCTCGGAACCTGAAAACACCCAGTTACAACTTCTGATGTCATGTAGTAATACAGAAATTGATCTACAGTATTTTTAAACTCCATACACTTTCAGTAGAATCATCTGGATAATTTCAACCTTGTAATTGCCCATCTCTACTATCTGCTGACTTGTAAACTACCACTTTCCAACATCACAAGGTGGAACAGACCATTTTGAGCGCTGGAGATCTTGACAGACTAATAATAAAGGGTTACTCAAACATGTGTGAATGCAACAAAACACAACTTCAGGTATGTTTTTGATGAGGTAACAACATTATAACATGACTAAAGACTCAAAAGAGTCAATTTTGCACAATATAGTCAGTATTTAATAGTTAGCAATATACGACATGAAAATATATGTCTTTCCTTAATATTTTCTTTAATGCTGAAGAACCAGACCTACTACAGCTCATTTTTAAATATATATTACAACACACTAGAGAACACATTTCTCAAGTTTACACATTTTCAATTTAGCAAGTGCATTTTACCAGAAAGTGAGAGACTCTAAGCTGCTTACAATCATAATCACCTGTAATGCCATCAGATCGGTATTTGTGTGGGAAAAGCTGTCAACACAAGCTCAAAAACTCACAAACGAGGTAGTCGCCGAGGCTGGGGCAGAGGTGGCGGGCGTGGAGGTGGCTGTAGTGGAGCTCTGTGGCGTGGGCGGGCTGGGGTCAGGTGGATCACTGCTCAGTCTGGGTGCCGATGACGAAGAAGGCACCTCTATAGGCGGACAGGAGGTGGCGGAGGGAGAAGCAGATCCTCCCAGGCTGGTGGAAGATGGAGAGAGGAGAGGAGAGACCAGAGGAGGAAGAGGAGGAGAGCTGCCAGAAGAAGTCACAGAGCTCAGGTCCAACAAGTCTGTGACGGAGACAGACTCTTCCCCTGGCCTAGAAAAGTGTGAGAGGAGAAGAAATGACTACAATGTGAAGGATACTGACAGAAATGCGTGTTCCAGTAAGCCTTGGCAAATGAAAAAAGGACTGGACCATTAAACAAATTAAGTGTAATAATTGATTTTCATGCTGGTAAAAATGAACGAATCTGCACAAAAGCCCAATAGCACGTACTTGTTGAGGATGTGCATCATGCTGCATCCACCACCAACCACAAATAATGCATGCAATTTTCTGAACACAACTTGCTTTGCTCTGACTTGTAATAGGTCATTTATAAAACAAGAATATTACAGTATTAACTAGGAGTGTGCAAAAGTATTGAAATATCAATATATTGTATTGTTTAATGTGATACAGTATTGATACCATGGCCTGCTGTATCGATATATCACCAAGAGTATTCCTTGATATATTTTACTAAATTATTTTGTTACAGTGCTACACTTTTCTTGCTTGTTTTATAGGAAGGAAACTCATGCAGAACATTTGACATTTTCAGAGTTTTGATTATTAAAATGCGTGTTTCATATTAACTTTGCACAAGAAGTGATTTAACAATGACTTTTAGTATCACAGCCATGATTTAGCTTTTATTTTTTATTGAACCGTATCAAATCGATTTGAAATATATCGTATCAAAAGTGCACTGTATCAAGATATGTATCGTATCGTGTTTTTTGTATTGAAGTATGTATTGTATTGGTAATTTCTCAATGATAACCAGCCCTAATACACATGGTTCAGTTGAAAACACAATGTAATATTGGATGTATTGATACTTTGCAGTGACATCACACTGGGGGTGTTCTACATGTATCTCTAATGGCATAATGTTCACAAGTTACCATGGTGACACAAAGCACCAATTGCAAACACAGTAAAAAAAAAAAAAAACGTGTAAGAAAAAACAACATATTTTCAGGAACCTGTGATCATTATGAGCATTTATGGTCCTGTTTAGGAGCTTGATTTTCAACAAACCGGTGAGAGTGACTAAGTGAAAAACAGAGACTTGTTTAAGCGCACAAATCATCTCACTATTGTAATTTCAGCCAATTCCGTTCTTTATGGTCAGACAGTGTTAAAATAAGACTCGGATTAAAGTCTAAAACTTCTAACAGAGTAGTGCTTTCAGTTAGTTTGTGAAAGCTATATGTCTCCACAATGGGTGAGAATCAGAGTAGCAAAGGCTTAAAAACGGTGAATGTTGTATTTAAAGCTTAATAACCATTGCAACTGTATAATTACTACCACAAAGTCAGGTTAAACATTATCCTTAACCTTTCCAGTGGGAGGCACTCCACTAGAATAGTTACATAACACACACATTTAAAGGGCTTGTATCAGATTTGTTTTATATGTATTTGAGCAAAATTTGCCCAGGTACAGATTTATTGTATAAGTAGCTTTTGGAAGTCAAAATAAGTCAGCTGTGTACTATACGCATCTAATAATAAAGAATTTTTGTTGTTGGAGAATTAAGAAGTGTATGTGTTCATTGTGATGAATAATTCAGATGCTCAGAATCGTAAGGTAAGTGAGGAATAACTTGGAAAAACTGTTCTCAAATGATGGTACAAATTAGGAACAGCAAATTTTAATATTATAATTATCCACCATTAAGTGTTTTTTAGAGAACAGTTCATTGTTTGTTATATACACTAAATGCATAAAGTAAATAAGCAAACTATTCACAAAGTTTTCAAGAATGCAACAGTCAAGCTCTACATTCCTATGTGTACTTACAGTAGGCCATTCATGTGTTCACCGGTGGGGGAGACATAGTCATCATCTTCACTTGTGAGACCCAGCTCTGTACCATAACACTGATGTACAATGTGCCAGAGCTCCTTAGGCGACAGAGACTGTAAAACAGCACACACAACAGCTTAGAAATGTTTGGTACATGTTGAAATGGCTACACTATGAATATTGGCTCGGTGATATTGGTTCAGTTGATATTCTGGTTAGTCATTTAACTGGATGCAGTGAGACTATTTACTAATGCTTTATATGAGACTAATTCATATAAAGCTGTAGTCACTTTCAGGATAAATAACAGTTATGTAACACAACTGGATACATTTTGTAATGAGTTAACAGTGTTTTGAGAATAATTTTTCAATCTCTTCACTCGTATCATTTAAAATATCGGATATCGGATAATATAGTATCAACATGGGCATCTGAACTGAACTGAAAAAGTTGGATCCCTATCCAAAACCCATAGACATGCATAATTTCACATATAAAATCACAATTTATACAGAAAAGTAATAGTAAAAACAAAACAAAACAAAAAATGCAGAACAAACCCACAACTCACTCCCAAATTGAAATAATCACCAGAAAAATTACTTTGCTAATAACTTTTTTGGTCAACTAAGACATCATAAACCGATTAATCGACTAAACAACTACAGATCTACAGTCTTAGTGAGCACACCCTTAACAGCTGTGGGCTCATATTCATGTTAACAAAAGAATAAATTGTGGACTAATCGTTGATGAAAATTGACAAACACAGTGAGACGCTAGCAAGAAATCAATATCATCTAACTGAACATGCAATCCCACAATTCTCTGCTCTGCTAACAGCTTCGTCTCTGTACCACTGACAGCCAAATTACTGTCTGCATTTAAAACACACAAATAACAGTTATTGCAATGTTCTTGTGGCCTTGTACTGAAAACCATCTTTGAGTCCAATCTTGGGAGTTTAAATATTAGCCTGTGTCATTGCTAAAGAGGGGCAAATCCGCAGGGGTTTAGTCATTACCTTGTCCATCAAAGCGTTTTGCCACAGTCTGAAAATCATCATGAAGCTTCGGTCCCTGGCTCCAAAAGAGGTGAAGAAGTGCTGAGAGAGAGAGAGGAAAATAGGAAGGACAGAAGATAAGTAAAGTTGGACCGGTCAATGTAATTTCTTTCCAATGTCAAGGTAAAAAAAGTGTGAATCAGCTTGTTTTTATCCCCATACAAGAACCCAGAGGATGTTAAGGGACTGACTGGGCAAAAACTGAGCTACTGAGATCTGCAATAGGATTTGAGTGTTGAAATTTGCTTAGGTTAGCCTTTCTCACACTCAAAACAAACTGAATTCAACTGTCAGCAAGGAATGTTTAAAAGATGTCAATTTAGAAAGGGTTTATGTCTAGTTTACGCTAGAATGTCTATAGTAAGAATTAGATTTTGTTTTTTTTGACTGTCAAAATACAGATGTTTTGACCTGATTTATAGTTAATATATCTGTATTTACTGGCTCTATTGACAAAGTTCAACTTCTTTTCTGTCAGCACAAATTATCTATGGTGATCTTTTTCCACAATTCCACTTTTTTTTTGTTTTGTTTGTTTAATGTGAAAGGACTCTAAGCCACAGAATAAATATGGCAAGTTTGTGGACTTGTGTTAAGGAACTGACTGGACAAAATCTGAGGTACTGAGATCTGCAATAGAATTTGAGAGCAAAAATTAGCTTTGGTTTGACTTTTTCACACTCAAAACAACAGAATTCTGAACTGCGTCTTTGAGGGTTTTGAAAAATGCGATATAAATAAAATTTATTTTTTTTATTCAACCTGATTAATTGTCAACGAGGATTGTTTTTCAAAATGTGTACATTTAAATTGTGTTTATGGACTGAATTCTGGCAAAAGAAAAGGTTTGGTTCATTTGACATAACTGTCTAGAATGTCTGTAGTAAAAATTAAATGGTCTTTTAACTGTCAAAACACAGATTTTTTGACAACATGATTTAAGGGTAATATATTGGTAATTACTGGGTCCCATATCTTTTCCATCAGTCACTATGGTGATTTTGTTCACATTAGCTTCAAAATGTGAAATGACTTATTTCTTAAGGATTAGGTCCACAAACTTGATAAGGTTTTACATTTTAAGGTTTTGGGCATCTCATTTAGAAACAATGAATCGGCCATAGAGTTACTGTTTATAAACCAATGCCCTCCATTTGAAATTATGACTTCATCCTCTAATGTTTTGAATACAACTTATTGGTAAAGTTGCATCTGTTGTTTTATTTATTAGTCCCAATGTAGTCTGAGCAACAAGACCATTAGCCACTGCCACTCATAGATCGACTTCACAACAAACGATATTAGCATAAAATCAATAGCATGTCAGGAGTGTTTGCAATGTCATTGATTTATCTCCAAGGCCTTGAAGCTGATGTGCATGATTTAAAGCAAACAGGCCTAAAGTAATTGGAGTAACTAAGTAACTACTGGAGCTAGGCCTGTCATAATAACACATTTTGAAGTACAATATATTGCTGAAGTAAAACAATTAACGACAATAGTGAAACTAATTTAAGTCACTGACATAAAGCTGACCAAGAGCAGATTTAAACCACAAAAAACTCATCTAAATATACAATATTGTTGTTATTGTTATTGTTGTTATCTACAATTGTTGTTATTGGTAATTGTTAAAAATCATGAGCTGCAGTATATAAACAACAGAATGAAAAAAATGTAAAAATAAAAAAATAACCCAAAATTTCCCAGTAGTGCAAAGAAATTCTACACATGATGAATACTGACCCCAAAATATATTGTTACAGCATTCATATACTGAACGACAAGTCAATATTGTAATGACTGTGACAGGCCTAGATGGAAAATGGAGTAACTGACCTTCTCATTGTCAGTGCTGATCTGAATGGCGTTGGGGATGAGCTTGGCAGTCTTTTCCTTGGTGAGTGAGGTGACGTCTTTCAGCAGGATAGTGATCTGCGCAAAAAAGGAGAAAGCAGCGTCACTCTATCATAATTCAACAGACTTATCTCTGTGTGGGTCTGTGCTCTTATCTATATTGATCTGCAAACACTGTGCACTGAGCCTTATCGGACTGGAGGCGTGACATTGAGCACCTTGCAGCAGGTGGATGTTTGAACAGTGTGTGTATGTGTGTCTCTTTGAGCACATGTGTGTGAAAGTGTGTGTCTGTCTATGCATATATGCGAGTGAGAGTGTGTGTGTATGTGCGTGTACAAAGAGCAGACACATCTTACAGTGGTTTCCCAGCGGAAGATGTTGCTGTAGAAACACAGCCAGTTCTCTGACAAATACAGACGGCCCTGAAGTAAAATGTCCTTCTGCAAAGCGCACGAATAGTCTGAAAGAAAAAAAGACAAAAAAATAGTAACCTTGGAGTAGGATTATCCAAAGTATCGAAAATGTAATCAATAATAAAACTAATATTGCAACTAGACACTAATTTGAGCAGGTACCGATACAGAAAAAAAAAGTCCTGAACAGCTGAACAGAATGATTTTGAGCTGTATACACCCATGGACCACTATGGAACCTACCTGTACGACTGAGGGATAACACACAAATGTGAGACCATGTGGTAACTATTATTTAATGTTTAAAATCACTTTCTATTGTCTAAATAAATAGTGTTTTTATTCACTGGATCAGAATCACTAATTAAACATCAAATCTATCCTTTAATCTATCCCAAAATCTAAAACTACTAAATGTAAAACAAAAAATTTGGAGCAAAAATGTAATACGAAAAGGTGAAATAAATAAATCAACTACCGGGGAGGAGAACTTACCCACTATTAGCCGCTCAGTATCAGGAAGCTTTTTGAAAATTTTGCGAAAATCTTCATTTCTTTGTTTATATGTGGGACTTAAAACCTAAGAGGAAGAAAGGCATGTTAAAAGTTGTGAGCTGCTAAATAAACAGTATGTAGATATTTTGGGTAATAAATACTTACATTATACCAGCTCTGCATTTTCTGTAAAAGGACAAGTAAAAATATAATGTAATATTAAAAACTGCTGCGTGCATTCCCTAACACAATAACATTAATTTGTAAAACTGTTGAGCAGGTTGAAATACAGTTAAAAGGTGCACTGTGTAACTTTTGGTTCGTTGTAGGTAGCGTAGGTACCTTGGCATTGCGTGAGAAATGTCTTGAAGCAATGGGGTACGCAGAAGAGAGGGAAGAGGCAGATGCGGCGGAGGGCAAAGGACTGTCCGCACCTCCTCCTCCTCCATTGGTCCTCTCTCCTCCTCCTTCACCCTCACTCGCTCTGCCTCCCCCCAGGACCCTTCTGCGCAAGGAAGGGGAGCTCCCGGGGGTGCTGCGCGGAGAGTTACTGGCCGTGCTACAGAAACAAGAGAAGACAGAGAGAAAAGTTAGCCTCCAGGTGGAATGCACAATGTTTTTTACGTGTCAGGGTCAAACGCTGAGTGTACAGGCTTTAAAGGTCCTATATTATTACGCAAAATTGACTCATGTGAGGTTTAAGTTATGTTATAATATTTTTGCATTAGAAGCATACCTAGAGTTGTTTTGTTTCATTCCCACATGCCTGAGTCACCCTTTATTATTAGTCTGTCTGCATCTCCAAAGCTCAAAATGCTCCGTTCCACGTTGTGATGTCATGAAGCGGTAATTTCCATGTCAAGGGCTACCTTTCGCCTTTTGTTCATTAGAGACTGGCACTTCAGGAGCAGAAATGATCCAAATAATTCTAGCGAAGGTGAATGGAGTTTAAAAATACAGTAGAGCATGCCCTGTATTACCACATGACATCACACCGTGGAACAGAGTGTTTTCTGTTGGAGAGGAGAACTCAGCCTAAATATGCAGGGTTTGTGTGCTAAACATATGTGAATGAAACAAAACACAACTCCAGGTATGTTTGTGATGAGGAAACAACATTATAACATAGATCTTGCAAAAGCCTAATAGGAGCCCTTTAATGTAACAGCGTAAAAGAGACTACGGGCATCTCCATTCAAACTGCTGACTAAAAAAAGGCTAAGTAAGTTCGACTCAGCTGAACTGGTACATTCTTACTCTCTCAAGGGTTAAACAAGAAAGTTGTAATTTGACTAAAGCTGGGGTTACACTATGAAATTTCCTACGATTTTAAGATGTTCCAAATTATTTCCAAACTCCCTGTGCAGCTCAACTTCATACGAAGCTCATGAAGGACAGTGCACACTGTATGGAGCAATGGTTGTATTCTGATCTTACTATACAAAGGACAGAGGAGGACTGTGGACACATTTGGGACACCGCTATCTTTTCATTTGTACGTTTAAAAGGTGCACTATGTATGTATTTTTGTGTTTGGGGATTTGTCACCTGCTTGTTTGTCACTGCTCTGCCTGGAATATTCCACAGTACGACAGCTCTACCTTACATTTATTAAATTACTGGTGATTTAATAACTCAAAAATACTTAGAAAAGCAGGAATTCTGACTGAGTGGGGTTACCTTTCCCCAGGTCTGACCAGCAACTTGCTCTGGTTTGGTCTCCATAAAGACAGAAAGATACAAGCATACTGAGAAACATTCCAGACAAAGCAATAACATCTCCATAGAAACGGACCATCCACCAAAAACGTTACACAATACACCTTTAAACTCCAAAACATCACATTAGCAAACCGAAACCGCTGTTAATTTTAGCATTGCTTTGTTTAAACTCCATGGCTTCTATCACAATGCTTTTCTGGCTCTTGTGTGTGTTGATGATTTGTTCAGAAGATGTGTCAGAGATGCATCATTACCCCAGTTCACCTCCATGCTTCTCTGCAGCCCACTAGAGCTTTGTTTACGTCATCTGCAGCTGTATTTTACCTGCACACGCTGTTCTCACCAGTATGACAGCGTTCAGACCCTAAGACTCACCACAAATATATCAAGTATGCATCTGTGAATGTACAATCAGTTGTTGCGTGTTCATCATAAGCTGGTAATCACAGCTCCCAACCCTGTGTACACAGCAGCCGAAATTTGGCCTGCTTTTAGAATTGTCAAAATCAGCCTGACTGACAATTGTCTTCCAATGAAAATATTGTCTTGTGTTGACAGTAAATACAGCAAGGTCATTTTGCTGTCAATGTGAAGGACTGTTACATCAAAATAGTTTACATATACTGTTTGCTCTTAGTTCAGTCACGACACTGTAAAGAGCATAGAAGGTTGTACTGGAATAATAATGATAAAATCACAAAGACAAATCAATCATTTAACCAACACTAGTCTCATTTTGATGCGTTTCCACAAGCATTGATTTCTGAAGTTAAAAGCATTGATTTCTGAAGTTTATTTAATTATTGCTTCTGTGTTGTAGCACCTAGTGACAGGTAGGTGGGTCTACATAGTTTTCAAACAGTACTGAAAATGTGTACTTAAATAAAAAGTACAGTTACATGGCTAATAAAGGTACTAAATTACAAGTACTGTTGCCAAAATTGTACTCAAGTAAAAAGTATGCAAAAAAAGGAAAACTACTACTCAAATAGAAGTAACACAATTTTAGAAGCATTTAAGATCACACTTTTAAGCACAACTTGGTGAAACAAAAAGCTCTGACCAATCAAAGCAGGTGATGCATTGCTGGTGACTCAATTACAGTAATGTGAATATTTGTGGTCACTTTCTACCCCTGTTCAAGGCATAGTTAGGACTGGGACAAACCACAGTCCAAACTACTGCATGCAAATGTAGATGTGCATGTGATTACATTATCACAGCAGCGTTATTGCAGAATGTTGATCTGAGGGTTAAGCGGAGCAGTGAGTGGCAGCACAGTCAGCTGTCCGTCAGTGATGAGTGTTTACAAACCAGCGCTAAATCCGTCAGAAGAGCACGTAGTGAGGACTTAACCTCAGAGTGCCCCTTCTGTCTCTTATGCCTCATTTCACACACACACACACACACACATCCAGCTCAGCTAACGTGCAGCTAACAACACCCGTGAGCCACAACAGCGCTCTGTCTGGAGGAGTAAGACACATGTCTCCATAAAGGACACACAATGAGACGGAACAGCGTGTTTGTCCATGAGGGCGGCTCAGACGGAGCCTGCTGTCAGTGAAATGGGGGTGGGGGCAGAGGACAGTTTGACCGGTCCGGAGGATGTGTAAATGATGAGTAAATAACCTTCAAACAGTTTACACAAAAACATCCCTATTTCATTTACACACGTGCAGCGTTACGTGACATTCATTCTTTATCTCCGATTTATCAAAAGTGAAGTGTGCAAGGTGAGTGTGCTCCGTGAAACTGAGCACAGACGGGGCTAGCATGTATGCTAATGTGTACATTAGAGGGGATAACGTTACTTACTCGAACATTTCAGCGAGTGATTAGAGCCCGTACACGCCCGTGATTATTCAGTGTACCGCGGTGGCACTGCTAGGTCCCAGCGTGTTCTGTTGAGCAGGATGCTACCGGCTGGATGTCCGTTTCTGCACTTGTTTTCCTTGTTTCGAGGTGAGGAGACCACTCAACGCGCCCATCTTGCACCGTCCCGCGGTCAGATGCTAGTTCCCCATCGTCTGACTGAGCCGCCTGCACGTCTCAGTCCGGTACCGGACCGGCCGTAGCCCTATACCGTCCTCCTGGAGCCGGTCAACGGGCTGCGCGTCTCTGCGTCCATCGCAAATCCTCCGAGAAAAGTGGAGGGTGGAGGCGGCCGGAGGAGAGGCGAGAGGAGAGGCGAGAGGCGAGGGGAGAAGAGGGAGGGGCGGGTCTATACAAGGGCCACATGGGCCTAAACTGGGGGGCACTGATAAGGATGATTAGCGACACAGAGCGGTCTGCTGTTAAAACAGGTTGTACGGTCAAGTAGTGCATTCTTCTTCACAAAAGAAGTACTGATACAGCTTTCTATTTATCTTAACTTAACACAGATGGGTTCACCCTATCCTAAGAAGCGCCACCATGCTCCACTGT